ATTTCCCAGAGGAACCCACCCGAGGGATTAATAAAGTTTTATCTTATCTTATCTTAGTGTTTTAAACAGTAAAAGGAAAAGAACAAGTTTATCTTCACTGCAGTGTAGAAGATGACCAAAGCTGATTCCTGATCAATATCTGATTATGGTTTCTGTTCAGTTCTTTGCATCAAAAACAATCAGAAAATATCTTTAACTTCTTACAGCAGTCAAGGTCACATGACTTGTTTGCTTCGGTTTCTGCACAGATACAAAACTGTTTAAGTGCATTTGTGTTGTTTGGATCCCACTGCTACTCAACTTCCACGTCTGCACTTCCGGATTTTCTGAATCTAATTTTAGAAATCTTTCAGGTCATCTCAGTTCCCACCTGGCTGGTCCTCATATGATAATTGTCTCCTCTTGCAGAGCAACAGCAATTTTCTGTAACCTGTACATTATTTTATGAGATATAAATAGTTTAACAGCGGTAAAGTATTTATATGATTAAAAAATGATTTTTTTTACTGTACAATCAAAAATACTTCTACTCTTAAAAGTTTTTAAAAAAACAGAGCTGGAAATGTCCTTGTGAACATTTGCTCTCAGATTTACTGCTGTCAGTGGACAGAAGCGTAACTAGTTTGAAAGCGTCTCACCTTGAGCCTTTTTATGCTTTTGACGAGCAGAGGCGCCGTTATCCCCACAAGCTTCTCCTGTTGTTTCAATGACAGCTTTTTAACATCATGAAAAAACTGAGGAAAAAAAATGTAAGAATCCCAACGTGGCTGAAACGTACTCCGGTGGAAAAACTCCCATAAAGAATGGTGAGGTTAACAGAAAACACCGCACAGTACTGTGGACATTTTGAGACCCCTTCAGATGCTGTAGAAGATGACAGCAGCAGTATGTGGTTTTTCAGAGTTGATGACGTGCAGCATCAAGGAGTTTGAAAGGAATGTACAGTTTCCACATCATTGTTGATGCTGCCCCAATCCATTTGTCAATCATGCTCCACTCTCCCCGTATTCGTGAAAAAGACCCCAAAATACTTGAACTGCACCATCTGGGGTAGTGACTTGTCCTGGACCCGGACTGGGTACGTCAACCTTTTCTGGCTGGTCTTGGCCTCGGATGTCCTTTCATTCCCACTGCGCATTTCACAAATGAACATCAAAGACAAAAAACTCCCTGAATCAAAATCACGTTGATGCTGTGAAGAAAATATAAACTAACCCAGATCCACATCACCTTTTGGATTCAGAGATTCATTTCTTGCATGGTATAGAGGAAATGATCAGAAGTGTACAGTCAGCTTTTGTGAAAGTAAAAACCGGTAAAAAGAATGATGCATACATGTAAACACTGCAACCTGCATTTTTGTAGGTTTTATTAAACATAGTTCATAAAAACAACACATATATATTTACATTATTTGCGTCGTCAGACACTGAACCACAATAAATACAAATCCAAGGGAATAAAAACAAATATTAGTTCTTGTTGTATGAAGCGATGTGGAAACTTTAGTGTATCTGGAGATTGTTAAAGACCGATGGCAGCAGCACTGCAGCTCATACCTGACTTTCAGTTCTACTACTGCTACTTGTGCCTGACAAAAGTCTGACGCTACAGCTACAGAACATCCTCTGCACACACAGTAGGCTGGAGTGAGACAAAAATAATTCACTGTAACAGAGAAGACGAGTCAAATAAGATCCATGTTCGAAGATGAATTAATAGAAATAATAAGACACGTAAATAAAAACCTGCAACTTTGTCCAAGCTTCAATTTCCCCAGAAGCGCACACACATGCATGAACTGTACAAAGCATTGACTGTTGTTTGACCCTGTGGCCCAAACCAAACAATGGCGTCCCTTTTGCCCCCAGAAGCTGCCCGTTTAACATCCCCCCCTCCACACTGTGAGGCTGCACCACACCTGGCTCTTATTATAAATCACCCCCCAGCGTTCCTCTTTAACGTGGTCGACGTGCCATTCGGTGTCAGGTATGCAGTCAATCACAGGAAATGGCACTTTGCTGAGTTTCCTGCTATTGTTTAAATTTTTTTTTTGCCTCTATGGAAAATGTTGGAGATCTGCTTTAAGCTCGACTCCTGTCACATCTCATTCAAGTTACCTTTTTACATCTAACTACATCTGTAGTGTTTTTAATAGTAAAAGCTAGTCATTAAAATACTTCAGCAGCTTTAAGCAGGACAAAAAACAAAACAACAACAAAAACAATACTTTCCTGTGAGATTAAACATCAGATTAAAGCGAACATGAAACACTACATTTATAAAGGCTGGTTTACACTGTGGAGCTCTGCTCTAAACTGTCATCCTGAACTCAGATTTCCCACCTGAAAAGTCAGATCAGCCCCACCAACTGGGACTTAACAATCCAAGATGGCGGAAGTGAATGTAAACAGCAGTAAAAATGTAAAACTGCCACTGCTGTGATTTCACAGATGAATCTTATAATCATACTCACAGCACTGAACAGGGTGCAATGGTTGCATCCTGCTAAGAATCAAAATGAACCCTATTTCTCCGGTTTTCCCAAATTTCCTACTGGAATGCAATATTGCTGTACTGACTTCATTCCTTAATCCCAACATCCAACTTCTGAGGTAACTGGAAAACGGCTTTAGTATATGTGAACTAAGCAGTGACAGAACTGTTTTACAACAATAGTTACAAATATAACTATTTTTCTTACCCATGCACATTTGGAAATCCTAACATCCATCAGCATGTCCACAGAGGAAGAAATCTCCATGTCACGCTCTCCTTCACTTATATTAGGGTTTTGATTGAAGTAATGCACTGACATCATCATCTCACTCCAAAGAGTGCAGCAACTTTCCCTCTGATGTTCCTGTTCTACACATCACTCTGTTCCCCCTGCAGGATCTCAGGATTCCTGATCTGTGCTTCGATAAGAAACTCAGTTGTGTTTCAGATGGGCATGTAGTAACTTATGCTGTAAACTGGTTGGGTGTGTTTGAGGAAAGCAAGACTGTTTTACTGCATATAATAACGCTGATCACATCCTCTGAACATCTGCTCTGCCAGCTGATCGTGTGCCGTGTGTCTACATCCAACCAAAGGAGGAAAAATCAAAGACAAAGGGGGCAGTGTCAGACTTAAGCTTCTCGTCCTTGTCCACCTGACTCCAACAAGCTCTGCTCATTTATAAAGTGCTCTAAAAACCCTAACAATACGGCTAACAGGTGGATTCCCATATTTCAGTGCAGCTAGCCAATAATGAACGACCACTTAGTGCTGAAGAGACAGAGAGTGAAAGGGGACGATGTATCCTTGGTACTTTAACATAAACTCACTGCAGCTGTCACTAGTTAGCAACATAAACTAG